GGTCAGAAGGTGGTTTTTCTAAAATTGTCAAAAAACAGTCAAACATGATGCGACACACGTCATATCAAATATGAGAAAGATGGAATAATATTTATTATTTGTGTGGTTTCAGCTGAAACGTATCTATTTGTATATGCTACATTGCACAATTTCGATAATCGAATGAAAAACGAAATTGTTGACTCCAAGGTTGCCTAACATATGAATGTGAATTGACAATGGTGAACAATTATGCAGATATGTAAACAAAGACGATATAATTAAGAATGTATCTAATCATTTGTGTTTACCTCTAGGTTTTTTCCGCCGTCGCCTGTAAATAAATATATAATAAGAGAATCATTAATCATTGAAATATCTTATATCATATTTCTTTTTTAAAATCCTTTGTTTGTTTGTGTACGATATACTTATTGAATAACTTTAAAAAATCACGGTGGTAAAATTGCAAGCTGTAGAATATTATGAATATTTTCTTGTTCTCATTCGACCGTGACATGTCAAAAAAATAAATACACTGATTGTCTGATAAACAGAGTATAGTATATCAATACCTTATAATGAAAAAAGCAACCACCACACATATAATAGCAAAGATAATCACAACACACACAGTAATGATAGTTGTAAGTCGGACTGAGCTTTTGTCAATAGTACCTGGAATGTAGGAATAATGAAATGGTATTTGAAATGTGCATGTGCAGTTTTATAACATTGACATTGAAATTATAACTATTATGAACTACCTGTCTGAATAGGTTCCATGAATGGACTTGAAGTGAAGAAAACCTGTAATACGAAGAAACAAGTCAAATAATAATAACAACGATGATGACGCCCATAATGTAAAGTTATTACGAGGATACCGTAAAGTATGCAGGAATACAGTATAGCGAGAGTATCGACCGACGCGCAGTGACGTGTACTGACTGAGTGCATACTTTTCGGTATCCTCGTAATAACCTTATTATTATTATACATCTGTTCTTGCCGAGAATACATCATGGGAATGCCGAAATCCAAAAAGTTGAGCACAAATTTAGCGAACTTCTTCGCATGGAGTCCGGTCAAACCCTGGAAGCTGATGTGTTTGTGGTTGTTTTTATAATAATAATAATAATAATTATTATTATTATTATTATTATTATTAGAAGCCCCATTTTACCTGTCCATCCACATTTGGATTATCAACATAAGCTCGAACAAAAACTGTATACCATGTTTCAGGTTCCAATTCTCCATTATAAACCTCTCCCTCATATGAATACTGACCAATATCACGTTTTACAGGGAGATTGGAATGCTGGGTACACTCTGTCAATCTACCATCACCAATAAATATTTCTTCTTGGAAACTGTTTCTGGAGTTTAAAATAGGCAAAAGAGACAGTGACATTGAATGTTGGGGGAATGGGAAACTTTTGCTTGGAACAAAACACACTACATGCTATATGCAGAAATATGTATGTGACAATCAGCAGTTTCCCATATACATGATGGCTTCGAAAATAACAAAAATATTTGCTAAACATAAAGAATTGAAAATAACATCATAAAATGAACAAAACGGACAAAGATTCACTTAAGGTTCACCTACATACCAAGTAAAGCAATTGATCTGATAGTTTTCAAGAAGAAGTCGACAATACAATGTTTTACCAAAAATTAACAAAAATATTTTAGATGTTATCAGAAAACGAACAAATCTGATTAGAGGTCCACCCATGGTACCTAAATATGATATATCACAGTAATTGGGCAGGTAGTTCTTAAGAAGAAGTCGAAAATGAAATTGTGGATGAACAACGGATAGACAGATGGATGATTTACGACCACCACCACAATCACCTATAGGAATAGCTCCGTTTTTTTACGATTACAACGGAGCTAAACACACGGCTCGTCAACTATTCCACCATTGACTATATTAGCTCAGATCATCTGAATATTGTGCAACATGCTGATCTTCAAAAGATTATGGCATGTGGCCCAACAATTAGCGGTATGATTATAACCCATTAAACCCACAGTGACCCGTGTTGCTATGGGTCAAATATCGAACAGACAATGGAGCACAGGCTTAAATAATGTAGATATTGCAGAATTCCACTTTTGTAAAACATGAAAGCAAGATTTGTCTCTGATATTTCTGCTATATAAAAACTTTTTATATTTATCCAATAAGATTTTACATCATATCTGGATACAAAAACAACTATTTTGTTACAAATAAAATGTTTTATAACACTATCAGTAGCTTGAATATTGGATTGACAACATAGATTGGTGGCCATGTCTTTCAAGTCAAATTGTGCTCCTTTGCGATCCGATTTCGTACAGGATGTGGCACAGGAGGCAAAATTATTTAATATAACTGCAAGGCATATTGATGATATACTTTCCAAGAACAATCCTTCCATGAACAATTTTCCTTCTATAATACTTAGCTTGAAATGAAAAAAAAACGGGGAATTGCGTTATTTTGCCTCATATTTTGATGTCCTTCTGGAATTTGACTTCAAGGGTAATCCTTCAACTAGATTATATGAAAAGAGAGTTGACGCTGATTTACCATTATCAATTTCCCCCATCTTTGTAGTATTCCCCTTTTTTCTCCTGCATATATAAATGTCCTAGCTTGTTTGATAAGCCAGACCTTGCAATGGTTATTGTGACTTTGCGAAATGTTATAGTCTCCTTTTGTTCCCCACAATCTGGTGGCAAAATGTCAAATCACCCAGTTGGTGAGCTAAGGTCATATTTTAAGTAGATTATTAAATAATTTACTTTGAAAAATGTGGTAAAGCTGATTTAAAGCTTCTGTGAAGCCAGGAGAATGACAGTGTCACATAGCAGCGAATTTGAAAACAAGTCAAATCTTATGCCACAGCTTTACTGTAGTGGTTGCGACTGGAAGTGACTATATAATCATAGTATAGTATATACCAACCTTGTCATCCTTACTGCTACATATGCTTGTCCTGGAATACCACTGACGTCCTCATACGAGTTCAATTCTATTGATTCATATATTCTATCGGGAGAAACTGATGTGTCGAATACCAGTGATCCGGTTTCTTTTTTGATTGGTATACGTATAACAATAATCTCATAACAGCTGTAATTATAGAACATTAAAGTATTAAGTATTAAAGTAATCCTAGTGAAAATTATTATAGCTTAGTAGGATGCAAGATACAAAGCATAATTAAGGTATAGATGCGGGTTCGTGGGCACTTTGGAGTGATTTTTTTGTTTTGTATTCAAACAGTCTTGGCTATAGTCTGTTAAAATTTCGCAGCATTGTGAGTAGTGAAACATATTCAAAAGACGATTTTAAAATATAGAAAACATGTGCAAACATTCTCTCTTTTGAATGTTTAGCAAGATTTAGCAAGGCTGTACGTAAATAATCAAAAAAGAAACATAGTGAAAAAATTAATGACGGGATCTCCATATTATGCACTATATTCAACTTTTTACAAAACGATAATAGGTTTAATTTTGGAACAGTCATTCTAATTACGAGCATTAGCAAACTTCTTACTGAGTGAATGTTTATGCAAATTAGCCATTATCTACAGGGAAGTGGAAATCTAAATAGCTCTCACAATTGTTGTTTATTTCAAGTGAAACTTTCACACAACGTTTATCAGTTATTTATTAACAAATGGGCGTCCAGGCGTATATACACTATGTTTTGTTTTCATATTACAAATTTGTCAGG